TTGGGAACTCACGAGCAACTTCCCAGTGGGTCACCCATCATGGGATTGCTCTAGCCCCATTCTTGCTTAACTTCGGAGTTCCTACGGAACCCGAAGCCAGTGAGCTCCCAAAAGGCCTTGTGCTAGGTAGGGATGGAAATATACATTTAAGGATCACTCCCCTGGGCGATGTGGGATGTCGCAATCCACCCTCTTAGGGGCCCGACGTCCTTGTTGGCACACCACGCCCAAGGTTAGGCTCTGATACCAAATTGTCACAACCCGGCCCGGGCAGATCACTTCCCGGGCCCACTCCACTACCGTAGCACGATATTGTCCGCTTTGGGCTTACCATTCCCTCACGGTTTTGTTTTTGGGAACTCACGAGCAACTTCCCAGTGGGTCACCCATCATGGGATTGCTCTAGCCCCCTTCTCGCTTAACTTCGGAGTTCCTACGGAACCCGAAGCTAGTGAGCTCCCAAAAGGCATCGTGCTAGGTAGAGATGAGAATATACATATAAGGATCACTCCCCTGGACGATGTGGGATGTCACAATATTTCCCTATTTGCTTGTTTTCCTTGCATAAAAAAAATTATAAGCACAGACGGGAATGGATATTTCCCAATGGATAATGCAAAAACCAATAATAAAGTTTTGTATTTAGATTTTGTGGTTAATGTGTATAGCAATTGCATCAGAAAATCAAACATTGATATCATATAGCAAACATGGCTATGCGAGGAGCCCACTTCAAGCACGATGGAACTCTGATGGGACTGTCCTATCATGCCACCTGTAGAAAATACCAATTGATAAGAGTCAATATTCGATAAGTTTATCTCACAGTTATTTGATTTAAACCGATTCTTTTCATATGGTTCATCACATAAGGGGTTTCTGAGAAATCCAAGCAACCAAGACATTGGCAGGATTCGGAGATAAATCGTGAAACGCTATGCAATTCAATGACAACTGAAAGGGAAGTAGGAGTACTGGTGATATTAGGATACAATCAGAAAAGCATTGAAATGCTTAGCTTTTAGTCTAACACTCCTTTTCTTCTTTAGAGAAGAGATGCAGGGGAAGGCAATAGGGACAGTCTGACAGAATTTTCTATAAACCAGATTTGCGAATGAATGTTGGGTTAGGCCACTTCACAACAGTCGCTCACTCTCACTCTAGGTTCTAAGTTCTATACATATAGATATACATACCAATACTATTATTTCAAGTAACTATTAATTAAGAAGAATAAGGAACTATATATACATATATGTGTGTGTGTGTGTGTACAATGGTAGCAGATATGGATATTAGTAATGGTGGAGATTAAACTCCCAACATATCAGATAGGTGAGAGAGAGAGAGAGGAAGCAATATGGGGCATATATGAATATGTATAGTTTTCATTCTTCAACTAAAGCATTTAAACTCCTCTAATCATCATCTTTTTAAACCGTAAAAACAACAATCCTAGATTTTGGGTTGAACAACCAGTCACGGATATCCCACATCAAATCCAAATAAAAAGAATAAACAACTTAAAAAGCAACAATATTGCTACTTGGTAGTCTTCCTACATGATCTAAGAATATAATTAATTAAATAGATAGAGGATCACATTGACCATAAAGTATTACTTGCAACTCAAAAACTAAAAATAAGATAGAGACTTGGCGGAAAACTCGAAATCCCTCACCAAAAAATACTCAATATTACGCAATTAGATCACCAGGTTTCATGTCATATTGTTTTTCATTTAAGAAAACCTTCTTGCAGTTTGTTGTACAAAAAATCCTACTCAAAGTAAAAATTAACAGTAATAAGTTATAGCAACATAAAGTATAACTAGTAAATTATATTCAACATAACATAAAACACAATTTGATTAATAAACATTTAACTCAATAAATTCATTACCATATCAAACTTGAGAGTCCAACAGGTCTAAATGTGTCAAAACCTTCTTCATATTCAACTTCAATTGCCTGAAAATACCGAAAAGTGGCGCAAAAACGTAATTTCATCAAAATTGCTTACCCAAGGATAAGTTAAAAATAGAAAATAGTCAAACCTCAGAAGCTCTAGATTCTTAATCACCATAAAAATTACAAATTAAACCAATGTCACATCTTGGCTCGGGCCCCCACCACATCCCGGGCTCGACTCCACCGTAGTACGATATTGTCAGCTTTGGGCCTCGACCACGCCCTCACGGTTTTGTTTCTGGGAACTCACACGAGAACTTCCCAGTGGGTCACCCATCATGAGATTGCTTTCGCGCGAACTCGCTTAACTTCAGAGTTCCTACGGAACCCAAAGCCAATGAGCTCCCAAAAAGCCTCGTGTTAGGTAGAGATGAGAATATACATATAAGGCTTACAGGATCCACTTCCCTGGATGATGTGGGATGTAACAACCAAAACTACAAAAAAAATAAAAAAATAAAAAAAAAGGAAAAAATAAAAAAGCAAACATCAATTATCTAGATATATAAAAGAGAGAATTTTTTACAACTATAATTGTAAGTGGCTGGGATTTTCTATGTTTGTCCCAGTAACTTGGGAGAAAAAAAAAAGGGTGTTTGATTGAAAACCAGAAGTCTTTGAAGAGAGATAGAGAGATTACATGCCTCATTAAGCATGGATAATAGTTTGGCCTTCCTTCGTTGATGTTCAATCCTATCAGCGGCCGACAAATGAGGCACATTGAAGTCTGAAGGCAGGTAGAATTACGGCTGGCCCGTTCTTGCATACCTAAAGAAGTTTATGAAAAAAACTCATAATTCAGATGATTGATAATATTGGATTTAGGAAAGAAGCAAGCTGAAGAGGTGGCGGTGATACTCAATTATGCCCAAACTCACAGAACACTAATACGGTACTCATAAGAATACATAATTAGTATTGGTAGTTTTTTTTTTTTTTTTTTTGAAACCAAAATTAGTATTGGTAGTTAGTAATACAGCCACCACTGAGTTTCTTTGTGGAAAAACAAAAAACAAAAAAAAAAAAAACCCTACAAATTAGCTATAAAACAGCCCATTGTTTTTGTAGCTTGATTTTTTATTTATTAAAATTTAAGTTTTTGTTTTTGTTTTTTTTTTTTTTTTTTTTTTTTTTTTTGCGGCGGTCCACCTAGGGCCCTCGTACTCAGCCACCTTCGTTTGCAAGTGAGAGAGAAGCTCTCCAGATTTTGTGAACTCGAGGCCTAAAATGGAGGCCATGCTTGAGAGAAATTGGATGAGGGACGGCTAGGGTTGAGAGAAATTGAGTGGCTCGGGTTTTCTTTTAGAGAAGATGAAATATATGAGAGATGATGAAGAAGAATGGGGGTGAGCGGTGTTGGGGCTAGAGGTTGAGGGAAATGAAGAGAGAGAAAGACAAGTCTCTTGAATTTGAGAGAAATGAGAGAGAAATGGCGCATCTGTGTCAAGGGGCCTATCTCTGCAACAGACACCCTTGTCCTATCTCCCTCTCTATGCAATCTCTGAAATCACTCGCAACAAATCCTCCCATCTCTCTCTCTCTCTCTCTCTCTCTCTCTCTCTCTCTTTCTCTCTATCTTAAAGGCAGCATAGCCTGCATCCTTGAAACCCTCATCGAATGACAATGAAGCCAAACCTACCCCCAATTCGCTCAAAACTTAGAGGACAAAATTGCCCTTCTCAACCATCATCCCCACTGTCGGATTTTAAGCTTTGGTGGGCAGAACAGTCATTAAATTTACTGAGGGTCAGGCTTTGACATCGATATTACTTCGTTCCGGAGGATTCGAGTTTCCACCGAGAGCCCAAGGATTGAACCTTGCCTGGATATTCCCTCCCTTGATTTAATCGAGGTTGATGGTGAAGTCTGGAAAGCTCGACCCCTGAAACCTCACACACCGCTTGGAATGTTGAGCCTGGTATTCTGTTGAGAGAGAGAGGTTATTTTAGGGTTTTAGGTGGGAACTACCGAATGGTATACACCCTGCTTCTAGCAAAGGACCATTGATAACTTTGGCTGCGATCCACGAAAAGTCATGCCATGCTTTGACAGGGATGTACAGAATGACATGCTTAGCTTGGGAGATTATTTTGAAGTATACTTGCATGACCTCAATATACTCTTTTTCCTATGATCAGGAGCATTTTTTTTTTTCATAAGGTTTTTTCTAACCTGACGAGGTTTTGATGAGAAACTTACTTTGGAATGGTCATACCCTTTATTGGCGAACCACTATATATCCTTGTGTTGATCCTACTATTACACCCCATAAGATCTCTCATGCACCCTTTAAGGTAGCCTTACTATTGATGAGGGTCAACCCACATCTAACGACGATTGACCTCCATTTTTGACCATGGACAATAATTCATTCTTAGACTAACCATGTGTTTCTTATATTAAAAATTAAAGACAAATTGTAACTTAGTTAATTAAAGGTATTCATCCTTGCACCTTATATCCGTGGTTTGGTTTTCACTCCCCAAATATCCCTTGTATATATAAAAAAAATAAAAATAAATAAAAGGGTGCCTTCAAGGAACTAAGGGTTGCCGACATTGGTTTGCAAGTTAATTAGAGCATTATGCTTCGTATTCTACATTTAAGTTTGAATATTCCTCTCTATGCTTTAGAGGACTTTAATGTCATATTCTATCGTTTGTTTAAAATTAAAAAATAAATCGAGGGCTACTCAGTAATATGGTCTCGTGATATTTCTTTTCACATGTAAGTGAGATGACTTAGATTCGAATATGTTAGATTGCGAATTTGATACCAAATAGGTTGCCCATTGTGTAGCTTGCTAAACTCTCCTATATCTTTAGTATAAAATATGTCATTATACTAAAAAAAAAAATAAATAAATTGAGGGTTGCAATAGAAAAATGAACGTGTAGTGGGTTAGGGATATTGAAATATGCGCAGTAAGCCCAATAGAAAGCCCAAATTTCGGCCTACACCTCTCTCTTCGTTTCTCTCTCTGCCGGTCTGTCTCCCCCTCTCACCCTGGTTTGACATGGTTGTTGCTTGTGCCTTCTGCCTGCGGCGCAGCTTTAAACCCACAAGGGCCACAACAGAATAGCAAACCTCAAAGGCCTCTCTCTCTCTCTCTCGTGGCTTTTTCGCATCCTCTGAATCTCAAAGTAAAAATCCATGGCAGCTTCACTCTCATAAACCCTGCAGTGAAACCCACAAAATCGACACACCCAGAAGAGCTAATTACATGCATTTTCCGATGGATTTGAGGAGGCTTTCAATCCCCAAACCCCATCTTTTTCTCTTCTCTCCCATCAACCGCCCGTGCGTGACCTGCACCACCCAACGCCGCCCCCAAGAGCCTCCTCAGCCACCGCCATCGCATCTTCCGGATCAACCGGAGCCGCCCGATCAGAGTTTGCACAACTGGGTATCTTCTGTTCTCTCAAAACCATCTCTAGATTCTTCTAAGTGTAAAGCTCTCGTACCCCTTTTGTCGCCTCTTCAATTTGATCAGTTGTTCCGTTCCATTAGCCCCAATGTGAACCCCAAAACAGCTCTCCATTTCTTCTATTTTGCTTCTGAATCTTTTAAGTTTCGGTTTACTGTTCGATCCCTTTGTGTTTTGGTTCGTCTGCTTATTAATTCAAATCTTGTATCGCCTGCGAGATTGCTTTTGATCCGTTCGATTGATGGGAATGTGCCAGTTTCATATGCTAACCCCAGTCACAGGCATATGGAGATAGCCATTGCCATGTTGGAATTGAATACCGTGGCCGAAAGAGCTGTCGGTGTTCAGGCACTGGACTTGTTGATTCATGTTTACTGCACCCAATTCAAGAGTATGGGTTTTGGTTACGCCGTTGATATGTTTATGTGTTTTTCTGATAAGGGCTTCTTTCCATCGTTGAAGATTTGTAATTTTTTGTTGAGTTCGTTAGTGAAGGCCAGCGAACTTCATAAGAGTTATCAAGTATTTGAAGTTATGTCTCGAGGTGTTTCTCCTGATGTTTACTTGTTTACTACTGCAATTAATGCATGTTGTAAGGGAGGGAAGGTTGATGAAGCGATAGGTTTGCTCTCAAAAATGGAAGGGCGGGGTATTGCTCCAAATGTTGTTACATACAATAATGTTATTCACGGGCTTTGTAAGAGCAGGAGATTAGACGAAGCTTTCCAGTTCAAGAAGAAGATGGTAGAAAACAATGTGAACCCGAGTCTTATAACGTACAGTGTGCTCATTAATGGTTTGATCAAGCTGGAAAAGTTTTATGAGGCAAATTGTGTTTTGAAGGAAATGTCCAATAGGGGATTTGTCCCGAATGAGGTTGTCTATAACACATTGATTGATGGGTATTGTAAAACGGGAAATATTAGTGAGGCACTAAAGATATTGGATGATATGTTATCCAATGGATTAACTCCCAATTCTGTTACTCTTAATTCTCTGCTGCAGGGATATTGTAAAACTAATCAGTTGGAGCATGCTGAGCAGATTTTAGACAAGATGCTGTCCCATTGTTTATCCATAAATCAAGCTGTTTGTTTCTCAGCTATTCACTGGTTATGCATGAAATCTAGGTTCGATTCTGCGCTAAAGTTTACTATAGAAATGCTTTTAAGAAACTGTAGGCCCAGTGATGGCTTGCTTACCACGTTGGTTTGTGGGCTTTGTAAAGATGGAAAGCATTCTGAGGCAGTTGAACTTTGGTTTAGGCTATATGACCTAGGATTTGCAGCCAACACTGCGACTTCAAATGCCTTAATTCATGGACTTTGTGAATCTGGTAGCACACAAGATGTTGTTCTGCGACTGAAACCAATGCTAGAGAGAGGTTTGGTAATGGATAAAATCTCATACAACACACTTATCTCGGGTTGTTGCAAGGAGGGAAAAGTGGAGGAAGCTTTTAAGCTTAAAGAAGAGATGACTAAGCAAGGAATTGAACCAGATACTTATACTTATAATTTGTTAATTCATGGTCTATGTAATATGGGAAAAGTGGACGATGCACTTAAACTATGGGATGAGTGTGAAAATCGGGGTCTGGCTCCCAATGTCTATACATATGGGGTGATGATAGATGGGTACTGTAAAGCTGGCAGAGTGGATGAGGGTGAAAACCTTTTCAGTAAGTTGGTGACTAAAAAAGTGGAGCTAAATTCTGTTGTTTATAATACACTAATCAGAGCATACAGCAAAAATGGGAATATGACTGCAGCCCTTGGTCTCCGCTTGGACATGACAAAGAAAGGCATTCAACCAACTTGTGCCACATATTCTTCTCTTATAGATGGACTCTGCAAAATTGGCAGTGTTGAGGATGCAAAATGCCTTCTAGATGAAATGAGGAACGATGGCTTGTTGCCAGATGTTGTATGTTATACAGCACTAATTCATGGTTATTTTAAGCTAGGACAAATAGATAAAGTAGGGAATGTCTTGCTGGAGATGTCTTCATTTAACATAAAACCGAATAAGATTACCTACACTGTCATGATTGATGGGTACTGTAAACTAGGCAATATGGAAGAAGCAACTAGACTGCTATCTGAGATGACAAAAATGGGAGTTGTCCCAGATGCCGTCACCTATAATGTGTTAACAAATGGATTTTGTAAGCAAGGGAAGGTGGAAGAAGCTTTTGAAGTATGTGATCATATGGCCAGTAAAGGAGTAGCTTTAGATGAAATTACGTATACGACATTGGTTCATGGGTTGCATCAGCCCACTACATGTACAAATCAGGAATGATTGGAAACATTCAAAAGGTTAGGTTTTTACGTTTTTGCATGAAGAATTCTTCTGTTTCTGAACAGTTTTATGATATTTAACTTGTGCACCATGTTTGCGCGCCATGTTCTGAAGGTAATATGGTTCATTCACAGGTGCATATTCCTATTCTTAAAACTGATGGCCGTAGACCATGGGATACATCTCCTTAACGTCACTAAAATGATTCTTGAACATTTGGAGGTTGGTAGATCTGTACATTACTCATTTTCTTTGCTTCATATTTATATGAAGATTCTTTAATTACTTCTAATTCATTAACTATGTGGAGTTGATATATGTTATTGCATCGTCACTAGTAGGGTGAAAGTACCACCATGATATGACATTGGTTCACTAGTAAATTTATTCCTGGGTTGGGAGTAAAATAAATAGCTGGCACAATTGTTGCTTTCCCATGTTCTTTTTTCGTCTTATTATTTCTTCCTTGTTTGGCTAACTTATTAAAGATTCTCACTGTTACATATGCTTACAGAGTTTCATCCGCTAGTAGTTATTGAGTTATGTATAAACTTAAACATCATGACATAATCACATTATATGTTGTAACTCCTTTTAGCTCCCAAATATTAGACTTCAAGACTTTCTTTAAGCTCCCAAATATTACAGACTTCAAGACTTTGTGATGATTCATATTTTAAGTGCCTCTCCTTCCATTAAGTTTACACATGCTCAAACTTTTAACATCACTGCATAAAGTGGCCTCTCTGAGAAAAAAAATTACACTTGTGTGCTCACTTCCATTGTTAACTGCTTAAGTGCTATTGAGCGGTTTGGCTGTAGTATATATCCTTTATTTCCCATCTCAATGGTTGAGCGCCAATAGTATTCCTAGTAGGGATGTCCTAATTTATTAATTCAAGGTGTCTGCATCAATTGACTGTTACTCTTATGGTGGTCCCCAGTTGCAACCCTACTTCATTTGAGTTTGGGACTGGCTATGTTTACAAAAGAAAGTAAGAAATCGGCTGTCTCAAATTTGAATCCTGTTTACTCTGTTGATGAGGCACATAGCTGGATCAGATGGCCATACCGAATGATTGAAACATCAAAAGGTATTGCACTTTAGACCATCTCTATCTTTCGAAGGTTTATTGCATGAGTTTATTTTCCCCTCGATATATAATGTGGTTGATGTTGGCTAGAGAACTTGTTCTGAGGTGAATCACAGAATAAACAAAGAATTGCTACGCGAATTGTGTTGCATAAAGCCAGGGGAAGAGATATTTTATAGATAACTGTGGGCAAGCAAACCTGCCTCTAGCAATTTTATCAATAATATTGTTTGCTTTCTATTTTATTGTTTTCATTCCGCAAACCACAGCTGCTGAATTTGGTGAACAACAGTTGTGATCATTATTTCGATTTGTTAGTGGTTTTTTTTGTCCTTCTCCTTCCTGCTTCTGTTGAATTCTGTTGTATTACGCAGAACCATTTAATTTTTCTTTTCTTTCATTTTCAATCAGAATTTCCTGGATTCCTGACCTAGCAATTCCTCAGCCGATCTTTGGAGCTAGTATTGAGGTTTACAAGGTCACGCGTCAAATATGAGGTTAGAAGTTGTTTATCAAAAAGTCATGCTTGGATATAACAGAACTGATATTTTGCTCAACTCCTTTTGATATTTAAGTTCTCTTTTCTTTTCCCAGAATTTAGGATTTGATGATATCAACAGAGACTAGATATCCTGAGTGACGCTAAGTTTATGACATAACAAGTTTGAATGATTAACTTGGCATTTTTGTTTGGCTTTCAGCCATATAAACTACGGACCGTACTGACCAAATTACTGAAGGTTACTTGGGGGTGATTGTTGATTTGGCTTTGGCTACTACAGAAATGAAAGATGTACTTTGAATTCGTCTGTATAGTAATAACATTGTTTTAAACTAAATTGATCATGGATTGCTAATTTAGGCCTAATTTCATAGCTCGTCTATTATTTTATTTTCGTAGTTGGCATTCTACCTTTTTGTTTCTTGTTGGCTTAATGGAGCTATATCATTACTAGCTGTGAATCATGCCATGGATGGCTAATATTGTGAAGAGAAATTAGATTTAAAGCCTCACAATCCAAATGTAACTTTGCAGAACTTAAATGACATTTGCAACAGACCTCCCAAACGCTCCTGCCTGCTCCAGATGCTTGCTGTCGTCTGGAAGTCATGAGATTTACAACTACCTGCAGGATGCGATGCCTGTATTCTGTTGTTGTGCGATCTTTTGAGGAGGATGGCTTTTCCAGCGCGGATTATGTGAATTTTCACGGAACTGATTGACCGGGGCTTATTTGGGTAAAAACCAGTTCCCTGCGTTTTTCCAAGGCAATTCATGGAAAGGCTCTTAGAATGCAAGAAAGAAATTCATTTATGCGTTTCCTTTCTGGTGGAGACGCGATCATCTACAGGTAGGGATTTTGAGTTTTGTTTTCTAATTTCTTAGAGAACAGAACCATTAAATCGATACCTGCCTCATGTAATGGTCCATAATGTTAATAGATACAAAATATACATGATCGAAACGACAAGATACTATTATTTGGATGACCAATTTGAATCTGATCTATTACCTCAAAATATCGCTTTTTATTTTTCAAACGTCTACATAAAAGTTGGTTTATATTCTTCCTTTTGTTGCTGAAAATGGGTTGAAATAACACTTTTTTTTATTCATGATTTGAATTCTCTCCTTTGTTTATATGGGAAATTTATTTTATTTTTTGGTTTGAAAATATTGAAAAATAAATCAAATTGAAATTTGTTGTTTGGGTGGATTTTTGTTTTAATGCTAAACGAAGAACGAAGCATTTCGATTGAATCTCCCTTAATTAAGAATGATTTAGCTACATTGTTACAGTGGCGTTCTGTGCCAATAAAATAAAGACATAAGTATTATATATCTTTATTTTATTAACATGAAATGCAATATAGTGATGTATCCGTGTTATGAAAATTGTTATTTCCCATTCATATTTGTAGTGCTTCGTTCATAGAGAACATGAAGAAAAGAGTGCTGACAAAAAAAAAAAAAAAACATAAAAAAGGAGCAAAGAGAGGAAGGTGCCTTCTCATAATTTTGCATGTTCACAAGTGGTGTTAACAAGATTTAAAAGGTGCTAGTCGGGTTGTGGGCAGGAGACAAGCACTTAGGCAAGAGTCTAGGTTATTTATTTATTTATTAAATTAAATTCATTATATAAAAGGATAATGAAGTGTCTATTTATATTTTTAAAAATAAATAATTGTATTGCAAACTATAAAATAGTATGACATAAATTATAAATGACTAGAACATATGAAAATATGGGAATATGCATATTAATAAGTATTCATCTAAGTATTCAACAACTCATATAATTACTAAAAAAAAAAAAAAAGAAAATGCAATAAAGGAGTTATCTATTTTCTAATTGAGTAAAGGTCGCGACCTAGGCAGGTGTAGGCATCGTTTCTTATTTTTCAAACGCCTAGAAATTAACCGTGGCGATAATCAGCTGCCTAGCTCGCCTAAGTGGCGCTAGGCAGGGGACTTTTAGGACATTGGGTGTTACATAAAAATTTCTCCAAAAGTTCAACAAGGAATGTAGTTGGTATGACTTCTGATTAATGAAGTGACCTCTCCATAAATAAATAAAAAGAAAATAACTAAAAAAAAAAAACCAATAGTCAATGAAAATAATAAGGTTAAATTACAAAAAAACTACCTCAACTATTGAGTCAACCACAATTTTATACCTCATCTTTAAAACATTTCAATGTCATACCTTATCTTTGAATTTGTTGCAATGTCATACATTCAGTCAGTTTATCTGTTAATTCCTCTGTTAAATGTTGACGTGGCTTGAGACTGGACCCACTTTCTATTAAAAAATTAATTAAATATTAAAAAAATTATAATACAATTATTTAAATATTTTTATGAAAATAATGTGGGACCCACCTATCTTCTTCCTATCCCACCCGTCTCCCCCACCATTCCTCCCTTCACTCCAAAACCAAAACCCCACCGTGACTCTACCTTGCCCTCATCCTCCCCACTCAATCATCTTCTCCACAGTGACGTACTCCCCCACACCTTAAATCTTCGCCGTTCGTAGCGTCGACGAAAGGCTTATCATCTTGGACCAGTCTAGGTCCACACCCCGACCCGAACTCTCTGAGTCGCCACCGCGTTTAAGAGTATGCCGTGACTGCTGCCGAGGTCGAGGGCGTGCTTGATGGTCGACCATGCGCTGGGCGACGTCGTAGTGGAGGGGAAGTAAGGAGAATAGGAAGTGTCCATATGCGAAGAAGAGGTAGAAGGCGGAAAGGGCGGTGATGGAGCCAGTGAACTCGGCGACAAAATAGGCTGTGTTGATGGGGAGAAGGCGGTGGAAGAAGAGGGCGACAGGGTTGAAATAAGTGAGGTGGAAGAGCGATAGAACGGTAAATAGGACAACGTTGAAGAGAAGGAAGAGAATTGTGTGCAACTAGTCGAGATCGTAGATTACATATATTTGATGGTTTCCCCCATCTTCCTCTCTCTAAACATGTTTCCAAAAGGCATAAAATCTCCAAGACTTTAAACAAATTCGAAGAAGGTGGATGGGGAAGGAAGGTTGGGGGTTGGGGACACGGGTGGATGGGGAAGAAGGTGGTTTTGGTTTTGGACTGAAGAGAGGAATAGTGGGGGGAGACGAGGTGGGATAGGAAGAAGGTGGGTGGGTCCCACATTATTTTTATAAAAATATTTAAATAATTGTATTTTAATTTTTTTAATATTTAATTAAATTTGTAATAGAAAGTGGGTCTCATCTCAAGCCACGCCAGCATTTAATAGAGCAATTGACAGACAAACTGACGGAATGTATGACATTGCAACAAATTCAAAGATAAGGTATGACATTGAAATGTTTTAAAGATGAGGTATGAAATTGTGATTAACCCAATAGTTGAGGTAGTTTTTTGTAATTCAAAAACTAAGTAGTTTGAATTGAAATGAATTCAGAGCTTAATTGCTGACAACATGCTAGTTTGATGTGTTGAGAGTCAATTTGGTAGAAGGAGAATTGGACAAAGTCCCCAACCAAGGCGGTGGCAACATGTCATTCTGCTCATCAACTGTCATGAACAACGGTAGCAACGTCTTGTAAACACCTGCAACCTTTTTGAAAGCCCCATTAACTCCGCCATCATTGCCCTCTGCGCTACCAGTAGTCTAATTGCTAATCTTGGGTTGAAGACCGCACATGGCGTCATCATTGATCTGGGCAACTTGTTGAAACATGCCATTGTGGATCATCAAGAAGTCCCTCATAGCTGCATAGTTGCCTCCAATCGTGTCCAAAAGAAAGCGTGGATATGCACCTTGGGCTTGTCCGAGGGCCATGAGTCCTTTAACCTCTCTTTTCTTTGCATAACATTCTGCATTAGCAGCTTGTTGACGAGCATAGAGTCCTACCTCGGTCATTTTTTACTTTGCATAAAAGTTTCCATCAACGGCTTGTTATCTGAAAATACGACCCTGATACATCAACTATTTCATATAGGTAGAACACTAGTTTACATAATTTTTCATCTGTATTCATGCGTGCAAAACCAATGCATGCATATATGTATTCTATATAATATTTAAGAAGGAAAAAGAAAGAAGCACAAGACGTACCTTGGGTTCATACTCAACACTGACCTTAATCAATAACTCACCCTTAAGCTTCTCCATTCTAGTCGAGGCCTTCATCATCTCCACCTCCTTTCGCAACTCTGCCTCTCTTGATGCCACCGCCTTTTTAGCCTCTACCTCCACAATATGCGCCTCCTCATATTTTTCTTCGCTAGCTCAGCATCGGCTTTTGCTATCTCAGCCTCCCTCATATTCTCAAACACCTTCACCTACATCTTAGTCTTAATCTCCTTCATCTTCCCTTCTCCATCCCTCGGCATCAATCTATGCTGCAGTCTGCAGTGTTAACCCCTGCCTCTCTTTCGACCCTATATATCTCCCATTTCTTCTTCACTTTTGCCAGGTCAACCCTAGCCTGATTTGCCGCCTCCATATGTATATTCTGCCTCCAAGTAACTAAAATACTTATGGCTGGGAATGTCCTCCAGTTGTTTGACGTTTGCATTATAAATCAAAAGCCCATATCGATTCAGTTCCAACTAAACCTTGTCAAACACCTTTTGCTTAAACTCTTTTGTTCCCCATGAACAACTCCTCCGTGGTCATTAAGGCGGCAAGGACACGCGTCTCCTCCTCGATGATCCCCTAGACAAGCTTTTTCAAGTGGTTGGAGAGCTTGTCGTGGTGGTAGAGGAGCTTGGCATACTTATGGAGGTTGGTCATGTCGTTAGTGCATGGCCCGATGGTAAAGACCGTGGGGAGGGTGAAGGCGAGCTTTGGCTATAGTTTACGGGGAACATGTTGAAGATGGTGCATGATTGGCCGGGGAGAATCCATGCCTTCTTTGCAAACTTTAGGTCGTTGATTCCAACTCCGGTAATCACTTGATAATCTGAAGCCTCCACAACTCTGTACATGGCTACATTTCTTTTAACAAAAAACCACCTAATAAATGTATTTAATAAAAAAGCTTGAATTCTATTGAAAATAACAAAAAAGTTTAATATAACAAAAAATTAAAAAGAAAAACTATAAAAACTTACCCGTCGTCCCAATCCCTCACCAACCTCCCTCCTTTCCCTCTCTCCCACGAGAAATTATTAGATGGTACAGTATCACCACATGACATTGACAACTGGTATTACCCACCAATAAATAAATGACACGTGGCATAATAATTATTAAATGAAAAACAATAGCTGGATTTTCATCTTCCTTAACGCCATTAGAGTTCTTTGCCAAAACCAATAATTGTTGCCCCTTGTATTCCACCTTATTTAACACCACCCTTTTTGCTTGAATCAAATCCACAAATTGCAATCTTTCTTTTCCACGAAAACATAAAATTCCCTCCGCCTCCCTTTTTGCTTGAATCTCATCCATTTTTGCTTGAATTTGGCTTGAAATTGAATCCACAAACTGCAAAAATAAAAACTCTCAAGCTACATGTACTGTAATTTTTTGCTTGAATTTTGTTTTATCCTTTTTGGATTCTAGCTTGCTTGAATTTTGGGTCTGATTTAAGCAAGCTTGAATCTGACTGCAATTTCTTGCTTGAATTTTGTTTTACCCTTTTGGATTCCAGCTTGTGTAAATTCTGGGGTTTTGGGTCATCTTAGATTGTTTTTTTTTTCTTTCTTTCTTATTTGGAGGATACCCTTGCGCTGCTTACATTTTCTTTTTACAATTGCTACATGTCGAGTGATTGCTCTGTTTATTCAATTAATTAGGGCACCGACTTTGTCTTTGTTCTTTTTTTCTTCTTAAACCTGAAATTTGTGTATTATAAATTTTACGGCAATGCCAGTTTTCCATTTAACAAAGAGATTTAGAGAGAAAGTAAAAGGTAGAGGTACTTGAAAGAATTACAAACGCGATACGAAAGACTTGGATACTTTGTTTTATGGTTTGTGTCCTTTCTATTTTTTATCGATTCGTAAGACTTTGGCAATTTATGAGTTTAGTTAAACAAATTGGATCTTAAAGTGTCT